GCCTGTGAATCACTGATAACAGCTTCCACTACTGATATTCACTTAAAACTGTTTCTAGTAACACTGCAATTCTAGAAACATTCCTAATTAATTTGTGGGGGGGAAGAAAATAGGAGCAAAGTTTAGCATCCAGCCCACATCCTCCATCACCTGTGAAGCAGGATACTCCTCAGTTGTGGAGGATGTGTCTTCCTGTGTGCACAGATCAACAGAGACATTTCCCACTTTGTCCCTTCCTCCCTCCCTAAGACGAGCCTCCTTCCCTCTGGCACTGTGACAAGTACAAAACTCTGTTCCTGAGGGTACAAGCTAAGGAAGTTGTTTTGATCTCAGTATTATACAAAAACAGGAACAAAACCCTGCACTCTTTTGGTTTCACTCTAGCACAACATGCCCTTCTGGAGAATCTCCTGTCACGCTGACCTGGAAGCTCTTCGGCACGCCTTGGAACTTGAGTATTTGTAGCAGATCCCAACATCTGAGCACTGGGAGGGCTGCACTCAGACTCTTACATCGGTTCCAGCTATTCCTCAAGGTTTTCTTAGTAAAAAAAAAAAATCCCACAGCAACTGCAGTTTTTCTTTTTTTTGAAGGGGTACCCTTTCAGTGGAAGCCTTTAAGAACTTGCAGCCAAAGAATATTGTCTCAAGTCCTCCTTCCTTTGGACAGAGGAAAATGCTCCTGATCAGTCCCTGGGATGCTGCAGTTGCTGGCTGAGGTGGAGGCACAGAGCTCTAATGGCCCTTTGGCCATCAGCAAGGCAAATGCTACAAGTCTGGGTCTCCCTGTCAGCATCCTTGGTTTTCAGAGGGGAAGAGGACACAGCAAGGAGTCTCTGTACAATCCATCACATCACACAGGACCTTCTGAAAATAGGAGTGAAACTGTTGATTTTTTTTGTTGTTGTTTTGTTTCCTTTTTTTGTATTTTTTTAATTTATGAACTAATCTCATTACTCTGGTATTAAGCTCTGTACCTGTTTTTCATCTGGCTTTTGGGGGTTGGGAGGGGTGGGGAAAAGTCTTACTGTTCTAAATTAATAGTTCATTTCTCCAGAACAAACTCTGGGGAGAATCATATTGTGTACATGAGTAGAAAGGACACATGGTACTGCTGGTAAGAACTGTGGCTGTGGTTTTGAACCTCACCAGGAGGGTACATGGACTGTGCCTGTGCCTACACGGTGCCTTATGCTGCCTTCTTGGGGCTGAGGATGGGGGAAAGTACCTTGTGATGAGTGAAAGGCATTAAATAAAAACATGTTTACATTTTGGGGGACTGGAGTACCTGCCTTCTCTCCCAGCACTCTTGGGTCTAAAGGTGGAATGTGTGCTCCCCGTTTCAAGGCTGGCCTGGTAATGTTGCTGTCAAAATGTTTAAATTCTCTGGGCCTGGGTGGATCTCTTAGTTTGAAAATGGCTGATTGTTCCTTGCTGTGGCACCAGGTAAGGTGAGAAGGATCAAAGCCTCTCTGGAAGGAGGGGTTAGAGATGCAGCAAATGCTGCAGCCCTCACCTCTCAAAGGCTTACACAAACTTGAGGGATACTCCTAAGCTCTAAAAACATTTAGGGAAAACAGTGCTGGATCTGAGAGGGGATTTTCTGCCAAGCTAAAGCAGAAAATCTGAAATTAATCCAAGGCAGCAGCTGTGACACATCAGCATGAGCAAACCCAGCCTCTCCGTACACGCTGTGGGGGCATTTGCAAGGAGCTGCTCTCTGGCCTCAGCACAACTCCATGCAAAATGTCACTTTTCTAGCACAGGCATTGCAGGGCTCAGGGCTTGCTGAGAAGGATTTTTTCCTCAAGGTTTCCCTGCTGTAAGAATGGTTTCCTTCACTTGTGATATAAGTTCCTATTTGTGACAGAGTCAGTGGAGAATTGACTAATGTTTACAGGGTAAGTGCTCTGGTAAATAAACTTCTGAAAGAATAAAAAATGTCAGGGATTGCAGAGTCCCAGAGCACAACTTCAGCTTTTAAGACCCCATCCATCAGCTAATTGATCTTCCTTGAAATTCCAAATTTATCACCTGACTTAATCTAGTCAATTGTCTGAGCACTGATTCTGGGTTTTTTCTTAAAGAATCTTGGAAGATTTTGCTTTCAGAATATATTTAAAGGTTTGAAAGCTCTTGGTTTTGTTGCTGACTTTCTTAGCAGAGCTTTGGGTGGGACACACCAAGAGTCAGAACACATCTGTGACACAGGTGTCACCACCTCCTTCCAGTCACCATGGCACATTAATCTCTCAGTCCAGCAAGAGTATCAGGATTTAGTGTCCAGGGAATTTATCATGGACAGAAGAGGGGGTCTACAGCAGTTTTGTACTTAGGCACATGCAGAAGACCTGGAAACATGCACAGACACATGTACATGTTCCTTCACCTGTAGTTTTTATGTATTTCTACATTTTCTACATACTTTACTAGGATTTGGTCACCTGTTATTTTAAGGAAAGAAAACATTTCTTCTGTAGAAAAAAACAATGCTCATTAATAAAAAAAAACCCCTCCACAGGCTGGAACAGGTGTCAGAAAGCAGTGGGGTTTCCTACAATTTGTACATCACTTTTTCCTCTAACACAAGGCCTTATTTCAGCATCCAAGGTCCATGGGGAAGGCCAAACCTCATTTCAGGCTTTCAAGTTTTATGCATTTCTGTAAACAGTAGCACTGGGACCACGAACTGTGGTTGCTTTACAAATGCCCAGAACAAGCTAACTGCAGGAGCAGGAACTTCAGACAATATTCATGGATTGCTTAATAAGCTCCCTGTTTCTCTTAACTTATACTTATGACACACACAGAGAAGTCTTGTCCAATTCATGCTCTCTTGAGGGGCTGCAGTTGCACTCAGAGGCCCCATTTCTACTCACAAATACCCTTAACACTGACATGTATCTGTCCAACCCCAATCCAACCACTGAGTAAATGATACACAACATAAATTGGACAGGCTTGGATCCAAAGGTCCCACACTTCTGAGACAGAAGATGCTAACATGGGTGAAATTACCTGTGCTCTGGAGACTGTGCAGAAATGAACATTCCTCCAGATTGAACCAAAACTGGAAATCCAGGAACACAGAACATTTTTCTAAAACAGTTTAATAAAAAAATTGTGACGTTTCTTGAAAAATTGGAGAAACCCAAAGCATATTGTGTGTGTCAGCTGTCTTAGTCACAAAGAAACACAATTGTCAAAAAAGATATTTAAGTTTAATACAAATTTTATACAAAGAAAATGTGAAAAAATACTTCCATATGCTAAAAGCAATTATGCTTCACAAATAAGGCCAGCTAGGCTAGTTTTGACACAACTGCAATTAATGAATATTCTGTTCTCACTTTTTTTTTTTATTCTAATACTTTTTTCCCTCTAATCTGGGTACTAGCTGGAGACTGTACAAACCGCATTCTTATATAAACAATGGGAGAAATCAACATGACTAAAATGTACAACAGGATGTACTGGAATGATATCATACAGTTAATTTTCTCATATACATACATCACCTTTGCTTTGTTCAATGCTTTCGTTTTACACAACATACAAAATGGGACTACAGCCTCAGTGTAACAGACAGCATCTCCAGGGGGTGCTTCCTCTCATACTGCACTGCTTCATGCTTACAGAAAAACATAAATTCCATCGTATAAATAATACATGCTCTGGCCCAGCATCAAAAGTCCTTTGCCCATGTTTCCCAATGCATGTTTTTCTCCACACCTAGTTCTTCTTCCAAGTCCTTTGGGAGGATTTTTAAAAAATAAGAAAACTGTGAAGCATAGCAACAAACTTTACTTTCCTCAATCTTTGATATCAGTAATCAGAAATCCTGCTACAACCAGCTGCTATTACACTTTGCAAATTTTCTGATCTTACACTGAATGAAATTTTAAAATAATTTTAACCTGTAAACAACATTAAGATTTGTTGTCAGCCTGGTCATTGTGAAAAACAGTTTACATTTTTATGGATTTCAGGTCCATAATTTGCCAATAGAGTTAGTTGAAAAGATATATCCTTCATCACTTGGTTGTTCAGAAAAATTCCACATGAGTTTCAAAGTGCAGAAATTTTTTTCACTCCAAATGCAAAAAGTTGTTCAGATTTTCTGTATCAGATTATTTGATGCAGTTTCCCAAGACCAGTTCTCAGCATTAGGTTGTGGTAAGGCTCTTTTAAACCTTCCTTTTCCAACTTCAAACACTCTTTATAAGTTAAAGTCAATACAAATATAAAAAGGAGATGGTACTCTAATGACATCCACAAATTGTACATTATTTACAAAAGAAGCATAGATTTAATATGGATCTTACCTGTCCTTAGCTTTTCTAAGCCAGCACTAATGCTTTACATTAATGTAGTGTAATTAATGCTTTGTACACATACACAAAGCTAAAGTCTGAACCTCTGAGGTTAATCCAAATAACTGTGTTTATTTGTCACATTTCTATTAGATTTTTTTTTATTCCAACAATTGTATGAACTTCTTGTTAGCAGTTAGACTCTTCGTACTTGGACTGGCATTGTGGTCTGAACATACTGAACTCCAGTTCTCATTGCCACTGTCCCAGCAGAAGGACTTACCACTACAGGAATGGTCTGTGGATTAAAACCAAGAGAAACAGATTGTTATGTTAAAGGTCACATAAACATGACCACAGAAATAGTGATTTGTTTTCCAGGGGAAATCCAGAACAAGTTCCAATTTTGTGCAAGAACTAATAATACCTTTATTACCACAGTATTACCTCATTCCAGGGGAGGAGTAGTGCATTACTTCCCTATAGCCAAGAGTTTCTGTGTTCTCATCACTGCTCTAGAATTACAGGGACAGGAGGTGCTATAGGGGCTGCACACACTGCCTGTGCTTGGAGGGTGAGGGTTTCAGAGTTACATCCAGTTATGTATTTTCTGCAAACTAATACGTGGGAAGAGGAAAAAGGGCTAAGAAAATCCTTTGTCATTTGAAAAAGTTCTGACAAATCAAACTGGAGTACAAAAATACCCTTGTTTATAAGTATATTCTCGTTACACGTTACTTAAATCTTTTTCCCCAAAAGGAACTTTCCCCCATGCATTCAGTCTACACAGAAGAGAACAAAGAACATCCATTTGAACAAAAAAAAGTACTTAAGTTAACTTCTGCACAAATCAATAGCAAAAACATCAGCATTACTGGGAACTGTCTTACACACCCTGTAAAAATATTAATATAGAATAAACTTTACACTTCCATCATACTGATCATGATTTATACATCTCAACAAATGGAGTTTCAGGACATCTCTATAGGTGGTAATTGATTCTACAGATGCAGAGACAAAGGCACAAGAATGTTAAACAATCTGGTCAAGGTCACATCACTCTGGAGATCTGTAAGAGGATTTATTGAACCTAAAGTCTGTATCTTAACCTTCCTCCAAAAACGTGAGAAAGTCTAGAAATGTCTCTACCGTACAAACTGCAAAGTGTGTTCCGACACAATTCCAGTGGTGCACAACTGGTGATCAGACAAACGCATCCATTTCAGTTCACAACATCTTGTGGAAGGAACAGGGAGTGAGATTTTGAGGAACCTGAAAGGGATGCACAGATCTTCCCCCAGTGGTAGTGTGACATTCCAGAGAGGACATGGAAGAACAAATACAAGTTCACTGAAGCCCAATGTTTCCCCACACTGATTCAAGAAACCACATGAGTGTCTTAATGATATTCCACAAAGACTCTGAGTATCCCTGCTGAGATGGATTACAGCTCCTTTGTGACTGAGTCTGTGCCTTCCAGAAGCCTACTCATTCCATTCCCTGGAATGCAAAGAAGATGGGTTCATATTTTTACATTATTTTAACTGCAGGAAGAATAAAAAACAAACATGGGACCAATTTGCTAAATAAATTCAAAATTACTGCCATTTTGTAATGATTTCAGACGTGTTTACAAGGTTCAGTGGAAATGGTACCCAGAAGATACAATGGAAGTTGTTTCTAGTTGGACACAAAGTGCAAACTGAATTCTAAAGAAGCCATTATGTAAGTCACTGTCAGTACTAGAGGTGGGGAAATTAAGGTTGCCACAGTTGCCTTTTAAATATACACACTTACACACATGGAATTAATTAATTAATTAATTTCAGTTCTTAGCACGATCAGAATATGGAATGTGCGAGACTCCTTAAATGTGTTAAGATCATTCCCTGAGAGGTAAATTTTCCACCTCTGCCAGTTTTACACATATGTACATTTTGCATACATATTAAACATGCACTAAGGTTTAAAATTATTTAAATTGCACGTGCAGTCATTAGAATACAGAGGTGTCTGTAGCTGTGCAAGACTAATGCAAATGTGTACAAAGTTATAAACATGCACAAATAAAGTTGGAAACCTTTCACACCTTCCAATTCTGCTTTACATAACTCAATACACTTTGTGTTACAGAAAACAGATGAGGGTAACTGCCATTTTTCTGATTACACAAAACCACCGTAGGATCTTAAAACCTCGCAGCTATTCACAAAAGAAGCCTGATGTCTTAGAAGTCTGCTATTGGATTTTAAAACACATACAAAACCTTATTGTTAATGGTAGTTCAGTCCAAGCAACTCAGGGCCAATGCTGCAACGGTGCACAGTGGTCTCAGGTGAGACCAAGTGGAATTGAAATGCTGTGAGGAATGTGGGAAGTCTGCATCCCCACCAAGAGCTGTGTTTGTGTGGAATCTGATGGTTGTGAAGTACTGTTTGTGCATGAGTGTGTATCCACCAACACACACACAGGTGTGTCCTGCAGCTGGGGTGTGCACAGGGAAAGAGAGACACAGAGGAACATCTACAGCACATCAGGCCTCACAGTCACAGTGTGGGTAAGCTACACTGGTAAATCAGATGGTTTATAACAGTGTTTTAAGTCAGAAATGAAGTTACCCACACATGGGCTTCCCTGCTGAACCCAGCAGAGGCAGAGCACGTGCCGTGACCAGGGCAGCATCAGCTCAGTAGCTGGCTCTGACATGAGCACTGCAGAGCACCAACAGCTGAAACAATGGGCTAATATGGTGTACAGAATACAAAAATCCAACTCACTTTTGTCCCATCTACTGTGACTGACACTAGGGAATTCGGATGTCCTTGGTTAAGCCTTTGATGGAAAAAACCCAGGTCTGATTCCAATGCGATTTCTCGTTTCATAATGCTAATGTGCAAGACTGCATGGGAGAGACACTGCTGACAAATGCATATTCTTTTTCACAGATACTGAGATGTCACAGGAGTATCAAGCATTGCTCAGAAATAATTAAATCTCTAAATCTCTTTAGGATACCATAGACAAAACGATATTTAAAAGATATTTTAAATGAATTCTATATATTTACATTGATGTTGTGGTCAAGTATATACATGAAACAGACCAGTAATGTGAAATGGCCTCTGCCTGTCCTCAGTGCCTTTGCCAGACTTAAAGATTTCTAAATCTTGCAATCACAAATGGAATGAAAGGGTGGAATGTTGCACAGCAAAATAAAGCATTTTGCACTGCAAGTTGAGACTATACCAGTGAATTCATCTCTTGATACAACAGCAGACGGAGACAACCCCCCAGAGATACTGAGCAATTTTAATGCCAGGAACAGCATTGCTGCAGACTTTAAATGATGATGCTGTACTTACAATTGTGGGTTGAGTAGTTGGAATATAGGTGGTGGTCTGCGGTACCTGGACCAGTTTTATAGGCTGGGTGCTTGTCACACCTGTTGCTATCTGCAGAGACAGCACAGGCAACCTCAGTAGAAGCCTCAGCTTGTACATAAATTCCACCTAGTTGTTACATTATTATTGTTATGATATGCAATTTATGTTGGATGTTTTCTTTTGTTAAAGTTTGCATCTTAATGAATTCACAGGTTACTTCTTTGTTAATAAAACAAAATTCAAATTATGAACATGATCAATGTATACAGCATGATGTTTCAGGTAGAACATCTATATAAAAGCAATTCCATATCTGTGTAACTGGAATATTCCCTGGCAGGTTTTAGGTCTCACATTCCCTACTTCCCCAGTAATACAAAGCTTGTGCTGCCATAACAATGCATACAAACATTAAGTGAGTGAGCCAGAGTTTAACCAACTTCATCAAAACATTTAAGTGAAACAGCACCTCCTTTTCCCCCCTTCAAATCTGTTCCCCAAGTTACTCCCTTAGATGACATTTCAAGCCCAGAGATCTAACACCAGACAGTAGCAAAAGTGTCAAGAAATGAACACAGCTCTCTAAATTACTATGCTTCCCAATTCTACAGGACTATCTCGATGAGACATCATGCTGGAATCACAATACTACAAAATTAGTTTGCTTTTAATATTTTAAAATACAACAAGGCTCCTACTGACGTGGAGGATCATGTGTAAGGGTGTGAAGGATCAGCCCCATTCCCCCCCCACTAAAATTTTTCATTTAATAAATCTTGCAAGGGCAGAAAAAAACTGATGCCAAAATTGCTAATAGTCAAGCCCTACCTATAAAGCAGAATCTTCTCTATAAACATTTTCTATATATGCAATGTTAAGTCCCTTTTTTTTTAGAGCATTTGCTCATCCTTGCCTACTGAAAACTATCAGAGTAGATGCTATGGAGGATTTCAAAACTGCTCCGTTAACCGTAGATCCAGGTGAAGTGTTGTATCAGTGTTATGGAACATTGTGGTACCCTAATGGCAGTCTGTGGTGAGAAAGTAAGTTGGTTTGAATGCAGGTCTTGAGCTTGGCCTCTGAACCCCCAGGCAAGAAGGGCTTGGAAGTGCTGCAGTCAGTATTGCTTATCAGAAGGCAACTTGTATCGAAAGATCCAGACCAGAAGCTACATTGATGGGTCCTGGAGAGAGAGAGAGAAAGAGGTCCAGTCCTCCTTGGCTGGAAGGATCAGTCAAGCCAACACAAGGTTTTTTTTTGGGAATTAGTGAAAGGGAAAGGGTGTTCCCAAAGGGCAGAATGAGGTTTTTTTACAAAATGAAGAACAAAAACCACAACTCTCTATCACTCCCCAAAACACACTCTTTGAAATATACACATGGTTATAAATTCCTGGCTTACTCAGGGAAGCCTTTAGGGATAGGTTTCAGAGAAATCTTACACATTATTTTTTGATTGAACATTGTTATTGTTTGAAGTGATGATACTCACTGTAACACTCTCTTTGCTTTTATCAGCTGAACCTTCCTTTTCCTTAGGAGTGCTAGCTGTTTCTGTGGGTGTAGACTGCACACTTGAACTGGGCTGGGAGGATTTATTTAGTGTTTCTGTGCTAATTTCAGTATCTGTTTCTTGCTGTGTCGCAGTAGCTAAAATCAAGGGAAAAAGAGAATGAGGCCACTACTCAATGGAGCCAGTCCACAGTCCCTCCTCAGAGTCACATCTGCACATGAAGAACTGAGTCACTGTGGATCCACCCACCCACCCAAACCCCTCAGCTGTGCAAGAGGCACCATTACCTGACTGTGTGCAAGATTTCATATGCTCAGGCCAGTGAGCTTGTTGGCAGGGGTAGTCACAGTAGCTGGTATTCCAACAGCAATAAAAGATGGCCTCTTTCTTGCAGTTGGCACACCATTGCTTCTTCTTGGTCTCATCCACTGCTTGTTGCTTTTCCAGTTCCAGCTGCTTCTTCACCTCAGCAATCAAACGATCCCGCTCCTGTTCCAGGCTCTGACGCATTTCAGCCATTGTCAGTTCTACTCAAAATCCAGAGAAAGGTGGGTTTGCATTTTCCACTCCCCAACAGCAAGGAGCAACACAGTAATATTCATAAGTTTAATGACAACATGAAATTAAAGCTAGCAGACAAGGTAGTCCCTGAGTTTGGGCATCTGTTTCGTACCTACTCAAAAAATGCAAGTCTTCCATCTTTTCTTATTGGGGCACCATGATTTTTAACCACTGCCTTCCATTTGTTTAACACTTTACTTCTAGATGTCCCACAAAGAACTAGAATACAGCATAAGCACAAAAAGAACTTATGCAGCTGCTGCTAATGTGCTTTGTCTTTGCAAGCCCAAACTTTTGTCCTGCTCCAAATTCAGGAAATACAGAGGATTCCATCTCTTCTCTCATTTGTTCATTGTATCTTAGTTTCTTTACAAAGCAAAATGTGTTAGTTCCAAGAGGGACAATGTGATGAAGGTAACACATACTATAAGCATTTCCATTTTCTATGTAGGACAATACCTGACACTGTTTTGGACTGTCATTTTCATACCTAGATTATGTTTCATTTCTGAAAGTTCCTGTTGATGTAACCACTGAAGTTTTTCTATCTCAATCCTCAAACGCCGGATCTAAATATTAAAAATTTAATAGTTAGTAATAACAAACAGGGCATGGTGTGTAATGCATTATGATTACATTAAAAAACATGTCCAAAGCAATGAGCCATTGTTTACATCAAGGTTCCTGCATATTAACATGAGGAAAAGACAATATTAAACCCCAAACCAAAGTGTGAAGTATTCAAAATATCTGTCTGCTGGATTTGCTCACCATAAAGAGCACAGGACTCTTTGAAGACAAAAAACTTCTGTTAAACTTACATTAACTTCTGTTAAACTTGATTTCTCTAAAACTGTCACATCTCAAATTTCTGACTGGAATCAAGAACCTATTCCTCAGTGCTGTTTGTATTTATTAGCATGACATTTCATGTCTTTTATTTTAACTAGATGAGGCTTAAAAAAGCAAGATTATCAATTCACTGTGGATCAGGAATACAAACATCTTTGCTCAAAACTGACTTCCTTATTTTGGTTAAAGCAGGTAAACAAATTGTCACACTTTGAGCTTTATTTGTTCCCATTTATTCTTAATTTGCACTGCTTAATCTGCTTTTTCAAGATTAAAAAAAACCCCTTAGAACATATTAAGTCCTACCCTTAGGGAATATCAAATGCAATGTATAGCATTTCATTAAAAATGCAAAGTGTTTCAAAGTATTTCAAAGAAGTATTAAAAACTATGGTTGTAGTAAACTTCTGCACTACACAGTTTACAAATAATTTATTTTCAAAAAAAAACAACTTCATTTCCAATTTTTACAAAGGTAGCAAATTCTTGACAGAAGATTGAAGAGCCTGGGTTTGATGCTTAATGCTTATCTTAGAGAGCCCACCTGGTATTTTTCCACCATTCTGATCATTACTTCTAAAACAGCACAGAAATTACTTATCTCTTGACAATCTTCATATATGAAACTTTGTAGATACAGTTATGTAGCACATTTAAATATACATAAAAATACTAATTTGCATTTTTCAAACTTAAAATGGAAGGGGTTTTTTAATCTTACACTAACCTCAGCTATTGTACTTCCAGTAGTATTTTTTGAAAGATCATTATATATTTCAGTCATTGTTCCTTTGATGGCATCCATCATCTAAAAGACAAAAAGAAGAGAAAATAATTCTTTGGTATATATTTTTAATAGATTTTCACTTTCATTTTCTTTCAACTTCTCTACTGGGAACCTATATTGCTACCCTTCTCTCTCCCTCTGAATATATGATATTTACTTGGTTCTACTTATTTAGAAGGTGGAAAACAAGAATTTTGATCAGGACTCTGATTTTTAAGTGTCCTGAACAGGTGAACTGCTTGACCTTCTACTTTTCTAAGAAACTGCTATTGATATCATTTATAAACAAAAAATATATAACCATGAATTTGGGGAAGAAACTCCATGCAAAAATATATAGTATTCATTGATTTTTTTTAATCTAAGTATCTAAAAGAGCATGGAAAGCTCACATCCCTTCCCTCACTGTCACTATGATGAGACCACCCCTTCTCTTTAACAATTTGGCCTCTCTTTAATGTGTGAACACACATTGATCCCACCTGATGAAACTACAGGGTGTTTTAAAAGAGAGGTACAACTTGAAAAGAAAGGTACAACTTCAATAAAACCTTCCTCCAGAACTTACTTTGCTGGTGTATTTAGCAATATCTGCAGCCACATCAGCTGAAGCTGTTGCAATTGGCAAGTCTGTGCTGAGTGAAGAAGAAAGTGTGCTTGCAGATCCAGAGCTGGTAACCATGGAAATGGGCTGAGTGCTTGTGACCAGGGTTATAGTGGATGTGGAAGTGCTCTGGGTGATCTCTTTTTGCTGCACAGCTAAGAAAAGAGAACATTGAGGGGATCAATCACACAAGGAATTATGAAAACAACAGGCAAACTTTCTACCTTCAATATCTAACTAAACTGTGTGCATGTAGCCATTTCAAATTTGTATTATTTATACAATGGTGCCATCTAATGATTAATTACACAGTACTCAGCCACTGAACTTGTACATAATTATAAGGCTTAGATGTAATGAAGTAAATATAACTTTGAAACTTATCATTTTAGACTGGCCAGAGCAGAAGTCTCTCTCAGTTCTAATGACTTATCTGCTGGAGTATTGTTAAAATGTGGTTTTTTAAGAATAAAACTTTTCAAGCTATTTTTACTGATTCATATTATAAAATATGTCTTCATTGCTAATATCCTCAGTAGTGGAATAACCAAAATAAACAATTTATTCATCTTTATGTGCTATATTTTTCTTTATGCCAAATCAGTATATAAGAAATCTATAGATTTTATAGCTTCCACCTGATAGATTTCCAGAGTATAATATTAAAGATGGAACATTGCCATGATGTGCTCAATAGTAAACAATACTGAGGAAACAAACTCATGGGCTGAGCACAAAGTTTAGCCCCTACTATTAAGGTATGTATTAAAGTACAATTCTATTTAAAGTTTAGCATTTAACTTCTCCAATTTTCACATTTATTTTTCCTCACTCCATATTTCTGTATCAATTTGTGCAGTCTAAAAGCAGAAAGATGCCACTTCCTCAACACTGCTTAAATGACAGGAACAAAAGCAGTTTGGGCCCAGAGAAATGAGCCTCTGTAAATGTCTGTATGTGAACCATCACCAAACCTCTCTCCTCTACAAGATCACCTGTGTGCCAGTGGTGTCAGAAGAGTGGAGAATGCCTCCTCATCAGGCACAGCAGTAAACATTTCAGTTTATTAACTTGAAGTGACAAATGAAGCTGATTTACATAAAGTTGCTGTTAAGTGAAGGGAAGCATCAGCAGCACAGGTTTGTGTAACCCTGTGCCAGCTATTGGTGAAGGCTCCAGCAAAGGGATGGTGAGAAAACAGTTGTGAAAACATTCTGAAATGCCAGGGCTGTTTGCTCAGTAAACTAGCATCAAAGTCTTGTTAAACAACAGGGATTTCAAAGACAAATCCTGGAGCCTGGGTAATTTCACTGTTGTCAAATTATACTCTGAAAAACCCTTCAGATCTGTCACATAAAACTGGAAGCAATTTGTAGATACTGAGGTGACACTGGTAAACATGCAAGTGGAATAGTTAATGGTTTTAGCATATGATCCAGAAAATCATTCCATTCACCCTTCCAAGTCTGTTATGGCTATGTAAAGCAAAAATATTTACACAGACACACAGTTTTTTTGTCATTAAATAAAGAAGACATGACTCTAAATACACACCAGAAAGAGCAAGTATAGTGAGTAACTTCTATACTAAAGACACTTATCAGAGTAGAAGCACACTTTGAGATTTTGTTTATACAGCAGAACTCTTGGCTGGGCCCTCCTGGAGCACAGGGATCACTACTGGGGAATTATGGGACCACAGGCACATTTGAGTTAGAGAAGTGTGTACCTTTAACTGCTTGTCTTGTCTGGTATCTTGTCCCCTGAGAGGACTGAGGCTGCTGTGACTGAGACTGCTGGCTCTGCTGCTGCTGCTGCCTCTGTACCTTCTGCATGTGCCACTTCTGAGAAGATGTCTGGAATTTGTTTGAAGAATTCCACACCACCCTCTGCACAGCAGGGGCAGTCTCCTTGGGCAGCAGAGGCCTCTGCTTTTTCACAGGGCTCCCTGTGGCAGCAGAGGGAGCACTGACAGTAGAAGCAGCACTGGTGGTTGCTGTCACACCAGCTGGGGGGGTCTGTGATGCAGAGCGGGTGAGCACTGGAGTTTCTGGTAGAGGCTGGGTGCTTGCACTGGAGGAAGGTGGAGTTTTACCTACAACTAAACAAAACATAAAATGTTATGCCTGCTTTTCACCAACACATCTGATTTGTAATTTTCCATCTAGTTTTTGGAACTAGTATATGTATATATATATATACCTTCCAGTCTGCTTTGAATTGTTTTCCTCAAAAGTAATCAATATTCTACAAGTAAAGTCATTTCAGTCTAGTGGAAACTGGTGACAATTCAGATGCATCAGTGGCTAAGCAAAATAAGAAGTACAAAACCAAGAAAAACCAGCCTGACCTCATTCAAAAGATATGTAAGAGGTTAGCACTTGTTAGGGTGTTTCTGCCTTACCACTTTCACCTGTCATCCCAATTTCTTTCAGGAGAAAAAACATTCTAAAGGATTAATGTCTGAGCAGTAACTGAAGGAACTATAAACTTTCTAAACAACAGTGAACTGACATTGTCAACCAAATTCAGATGACACCACGTTGGGCAGGAGTGCTGATCTGCTCAAGGGCAGGAAGGCTCTACAAAGATCTTGACAGATTGACAGGGCTGGCACAACTTAATCAGGTTCAGTAAGGCCAAGTGCTGGGTCCTGCCCAGCAAAATTATGGATATTCATAGTTCCAATCTGCCAAAAGGAAACAGTAAAACTAATTTTGTTTAAACCAGAAACTACAACGGGCACTGAAAACTTTTTCATAGTCACAAAGGATGAACAAACACTCCTAAAAATATCTGTATTAAAACAATTTTTATCTTAATGCAAAAATAAAGGTGGCAATTCTACCTTTGGTAAGAACAGAACAGAGGGTAAACAACAGGAAATAATTTCATCCTACCATCTTGTTTAGGAGAAGATTCTTTAGATTCTTTCTTGTTTTTCCTTCCTTCACGGGCACAATGATCATCTCCTAGATCGATGACAAGTTCACTCTCAGAATCAGAGTCCAGTCCTAGATGCACGGTTGGAGAGTCTGTTTCATCTTTCCCTTTCAGCTTTTCTTTTGCAGGATGCTGTAAACTCTTTCCCTTTTCAGAAAATTCTTTTTCAGTATCTGAAACAGCCTTTTCCTTGACCTGTTCTTCTGTTTTCTCCACTTCTGGACTTGTGCTTTTAAGTTCCTCCTTGTCTTCATTCTGTGCTGGAGGCTTGGGTTTTTTTTTCAAGCTCAATGATTCTTTGTCACTTCTTGCACCTTCCTTGTCCTCCCCATCCTCTTGATCATTCTTTGATTTCTGATCCTCATCACTATATTCACTGTCACTGGTATCAGATTTTTCAGAATCTTCAGAGTCACTGTGTTCTACTGCAGTATAAACAGCTTCAGATATTTCATTTATTCCTAATTGTGGGAAGGAAAGTACATTCCATGCTGACATCAGACTGACTGACATTACCAAGAAAATACTCTCTATATACTGGAACAAAGTGTACACATACCATTACCTTAACTATCAGTCCTTTGGCTACAAAGCTTAGTGCCCTATCCCAGCACCATAATGTATAAAAATGAACTTCTACATACTCCAATAAATATTTTTATTTCATTCAATGGCCCTCCTTTCACTGCTTTTTCCCACTACCTGCAAGGTCTATTGTTCAATTCAGGGTCCAACGTTGACAAATACAAAAACGAATTTTTTTTATCCACAAGATAAAAATCCTTAAAAATCAGCAACACTATTCACCTGATTATATTTAGTTACTTACATTCATTATACTTTGTGCAACTGACAGAATTTAGGCAGAATTCTCCAATTTTTCAACATGCAAAGCAGTTAAGACTATAATCCTTTCATACTATCCACATCAGAACAGTACCAAAACAGGTTAAAAGATGAAAGAAAAATTTGAAGCATCAGGTTTCACTGTGTTTTAAAACAAACTAGTTCAGTGCATTCTACTCACCACAAAGAGTTTGAATATTTTCTACTCTTGTTTTAAAACATAAAATATTTATGGTTTTACTATCCAAAAACTTATTTGACCTCCAATTTGAGTGTTCTTTATAGCTGGCTGGTCACAGGCCCAGACAAAGGAGGAAAGATGAGGAGGACTCCACTGATATCAGAAGGCTAATTAATTACTTTATTATACTATATTATTCTATACATCTAAAACTGAACCTGCCAAGCACTCAACTCTGCACACAGTCCCAACACACACACACACACACACACACACACTCTCTTGGCCCTGACAAGCCAAGGAAACAAAACACCATCACTTTGGGTAAACCATCTCCATATTGCATTCTACTTTTGCACAAACACAGGCACAGCAAATGATAAGAATTGTTTTTCCTTCCTCTGCTGTTCAGAGAATGTGAAACCCAGAAATACTCTTGGGAAGAATTGTGCCTTGCTTTTCTCTGTGAGGAGCAATGTGGCTGCAGCTCTTGAGGGACACTCACCCAGCTGTGCCTTACAGCTCTCGATGGTCTTGTCAAGGTTGAGCTGGAACCTGCTGCGGATCTGGCGCTTGGGGGAGATGAGCTGCACGGGGGTGCTCTGCTGCTGCACCGACTCACTCAGCTCCTTCAGATCCATCTCAGCCTTGCTGCGGTCTGCAACAACAAACACGGCTCAGAATAGAGATTTTACACAAGGAAAGGATGGCTATCCAGAGAAAACACTGTCAGAACCCAGGACATCCCTCTGGCTGCCCTGGATGGCTCAAGCCCCTGCCAGGGGGCTCAGAGACCTTGGCACGAAGCCAAAGACACCTGTGCCTTTGATTTTAACCCATGGAAAAAATTACCAACTTTATATGAGGATTTACAAGCCACAAGAGTTTAAGCAGAATGATAGTTTGTCACAGGGTGAAAAAGTAAAATTTTGGGTTTTTAGAATGGGGGTTCAGAAGCCAAGATGGAGGGATTTGGGCATCCCTTGTCCTTCTTCTTTCTTCTTTTAAGCCTCCATCTTCTGGGTGATGGTGGCACTTTTGGATTGGTTTAGAGTAGAAACACACTGTCTAACATAGATGACAGGTATTGGAAAATTATTGTAAATAATGTACACGTAGTTTTTAGTACAAAAAGATAACAGCGCCTCTGGGGCGGTCAGTGTGCCACAGACAGACCTCAGCAGGTCAGGAAAAGAATGTTCTAGATAACAGAGAATAAACAACCTTGAAAAACACAGCTGAAGAATCCTGACTCCTTTGATCTCAGGGTAGGGAAAAAGAGACTTTCTAACACCTCGAGGTCATCTCGACCACAGAAACCCCAGGAAAACACATTTCACCAAAGAGAAATGCAGACAATCTGCAACATGCTGCACTTTTTTTGTAATTGTGGGATAAACAGTAACTCTAAAATGACTTTACTACAAAAAATGGATTCTTTCTCTATTCAAACACAAAACACATGCTTAAATTTATGGGGACTTTTTCTCCATCCATGTGAATTTATCAAGAAATCCCCATTCAGGTTTGTAAAGCTGTCTGACAGCACTTCTACTTAACTACTGCTCTTATTTACTACTACCTTCACAGAGAAAATTAAATAGAACTAAAATCTTTATAATATTATAAGACACATAAAATCTTTATAGTCATCATTTAAAATACAAAACTTAGGTCATGAGAATACATAAAAAATGTAGATTATTTCACTGGACAAATTAGTAAATTCAAGATAGAATAACACATTTCTCAGTATATGTCAATTAGCAAGTGTGCCAGTAGCAACAGATGGTTCATTTCTGTTATTTTTCCTTCCTTTTTGCTGAATTACAGACCACAGAATCCTCCTAGCACTCTTCTGAAGATACAAAGTGTCTTTGTTTTCTGGACTCTCACTTTTGTTTTTGCAGAGAGAAACTCTGTTCACATCACATATGACAATGAGACACAATGAGTTATATTGGAAAAATTCTAATATCCACAGAAGAACACATGCCTGGCACAGCTGACACTATTAAATGAAGAAGGGCTGTTCACTCACATTAACAAAAAGAATATTTAATAAAGGAAATTCCCCTAAACTTGAAAAAACCCCAGATATTCTACTCGAGAGCGTACAAGCACTTCTTTTATGTTATTACTCATGGGCCATAACATCAGATTTTCCAATCTATGCTATTTATTCAAAGTGCTCCAGCTGATGTCTCCCATCTGTGGTTCAAACAACTGCAGCACTATGTACTTCTTAATGTTTTTCCAAATGCATTGTCACCTCAGATGAGGTGACAAACAGCTGCAGTGCAGCAGAAGAAATTAATTCTACAACTATGTCCACACATATGACCCACTGAAAAATAGACTTGTATCCAGAATCAGAATACCTGTAAGGCACTAAAGACATGAATTCATTATTTGAACTTAAGCCTTCCTGAAGGACCTGGCTAACACCAAGGGGGCAAAATCCTGGTTCTCTGTGTAAGGTCACGTGAAGGTAAAAAGCAACCAGAACTGAATCAGAACACTCACAGGAACAAAGCATGACTGAGGGAACTGATTTACATGTTTGGCTTGCAGAGCTGTTTTACCAACTTAGTACTTACCCACTCCATCTTTCAAAATTCCACAATCCCAAAATTTACTTCTAGGGAGTTTCAAGACTTCAAGAATTCTGCTAATTCCTTTCATCCATCTATCTCCCTAGAGAGGGATGGTCAGTGAGGAGGTGATGTGAAGGCAGCAAGAGAGAAGCCCTAGTAAATCCTAAATCCTAAAGATCACAAGAAAACCTTGCCAGCAATTCACTCGAGAGAGACTGAGTGGTGAAGAGCAGCAATGTTCATGTAATTACAACCTTTAGAAACTTACCTACTGTTTAGACACATTCATGTTTACAGTTCAGCTAAGAAAATTATCCTTTAACTACTTCCTTTCATCAACAAGAAACAATAATGGAAACTTCCTTGTACAAGATAAAAAACCCAGTAAATCTGATAAAACAATAATGACATGTGTGCCTCATTTAAAGACCTTTGCTCATTTAAAGTCACATACAAGCACATTTGTTTGTATTATGTTGCACTGACACCAGCATAATTTGTTCAGCTGTAAGAATATTAGGTTTTCAAACATCAAAACTAACCAAGGTTAAGATTCAGAATGCTTCCTGGCGTGGAAGTTCTTTCTTGCTTAGCAGAAATTGGCGTTGATGCTTGAGGAGAGAAAGGTTTGGGGCTGCCTGACAAGCTCCCTGATTGACCTGTTCTTGTTGGTGCTGGAGAAGCTGAAAAAGTAGAAAATTAATAAAGACAGATTTAAAACCAGAACACCTACTCATGACAGTTCTAATTTTTTTTTGTATTTATTTCCACTCTCCATTCACTTTAATAGTTACAACTCTTTCCTGCTATTTAAATTGAACAGGTTGAATCATTTTTCAAGATTATTCATTCCTTCTCAAGGTGACAGAAAGAACTGTTCTTTCTTATTTGTGATACTGAAAGTTACATGCATCCCTTTTTTTAAAATTTCTTCATAAACCAAGTCATAACTCAGCCTATCATTAAAAACTACACGGAATAAAACTAGCCCATTTCCAAAGTCCTGTACCTCTTTTATTTTTTTTTACCTGTATTTTTCTCAATGAAGTCCATGGATTCTTCACTGGCACTAAAATGACTGGAAGTTGCTTTTTTCTCTGCATCCTGTTCAACATCAGAGCCAGTGTGAACTGAGGAGTTTGTACTCATTGGTGACCGTGGCATATCTGTCAGTGAAATCCTGCGGCCTGTGCTACTGCCCAGCATGGACTTGCTCATCAGAATCTTGGGTGACGCTGTCATATCAAAATTTAGTTTGATTTTCTCTTGTTTGTCTGTCTTTGCAGTTCCAGCAGCTGGGTTTGCAGGGTCTAACAACATTTGGTATTGATTGTTGGGAGTATATGGTGTCCGGAAAGGTGCATAATTAAATACTCCAAATTTTCTACGAATGTTATCAACATAAACCTCCATTTCTTGCATTGCACTATTGAAGATGCTTTTAGTCTTTTTCACAGAAAAAGGAATTTCTTTAGACATGAGGTAGCAATTATTTATTGGAACCCAGGCCCTATATATAAAACAGAAAAAGATAATATAACTACATTTCATACTGTGAATTGACATTGCCAGCTTTTATGCAAATGCTAATTTATTTTTGCCTAATCATAAAGATATGAGTAGCTCAGATAATTTTAAAGAACCATCATTACATTCTTTTAATATTTCAGTGCTTACTTTTGGTAAGTAAGCAAACTGCATGCCTTGGATTATCAGTGACTTATTTTATTTTACCCAGTAGCAATAAAACATGACTTAACACTGGTCAAATGACAAAATGTTCCAAATTGGAACAGTCTATGTAACTGTAAGACAGCCATTGCTAAACAGTCTATATGTCATAGCACAAAAATGTAAAAAGCTGGTAAGGAAAGGAATACTTCACAAGCACCTTCTTAGAAATATTTTACACCCCAGGCCAGGTTGGCCAAATTCCTCAGTGCCAGGAAAAGTTCCATCAGCAAGTACTGGAGAGATTTTATTTACCATGAAATGAAGCAGACCCTGAAACTGCCTGCCAAGACCCTAGGACAGCAGGAGCTTTGACTTAATTATTCCATGGCCCTGCATAGGTGGGTTTTTTACACATATTATTATAGATTTATATTTCTAATTCATGGCAAATCAACTTGTATTCATCATGGCTGTGTCCATCTAAGCAGAGGATTCACAAGTACAGAGAACTCCCTTCAGAGCAAAACTGCATTTTCAACACAGGTTATATTTCTGTATTTTTTAAACCTACAGGTGTGTATATATGTTTAGACAATATAAATGACTTCATTGGTTTCTTCCACCCTTAAGAACTGCAGCTCTCCCCAGCACAACATCAGACCCAGGAATTAAGCTGCATACTCACCAGATTAGGGATTTATCTTACAATCATGTAAGGAACTAAAACTGTGTTTGCTACAGTATTACACAGCTTTTGTTAGAGTCAAGGTTCTAAAGACAGGATCCAAACACTTGTAAGCACACAAAATTACAACATAAATTTTTTAAGAACAGTCAAATATATCCTTTTTTTCAACTCCCACCTGTCATGTTGGCCAAAGAAACGGGCATCGACTTGCCCATCTTTATCCCTCAGTGCTTTAGCAGGCCAGAATGGAAAGCCTTTGAGTTTAGCCCAGACCAAAGGGTGGGGATTGCTCTAGAGGAAGAGGCAAAATACACAGTAAGAAAATGCAAGCAGTACTAGCTTCAAATCTGATAACATGATTTTTTTTAAATTGTATGTATCACTTAGATTCAATAAAGATCCAACGTGCACAAGGCATTTGCCATATACAAAATTCCATTTTACTATAAACAAAATAAATCCTAAGAGGACAAAATGATAAAATTATATTAAAAAAACTTGCTAAACATAAAACCTTACACATCTTGATTAAAATGCTTGTAATTGCACTTCTTTAATAATTTATTTTTTATTAGTCCTCTCCAAATATATAGCATAACATAAATTAGGCTAGAGCCAATCTTTGAAATGCTGTAATTTTCACTTAGGCTTGTCTCTTGGCAGATCATAAGACACTAAAAAGTCCTTGACTTAGGGTAAGCACTACTTAGCAACAACCAAAACATCGCTGTGTCATCAACATTATTCTCATACTGAATGAAAATACAGCACTGTTCCAGCTGCTAAGAAGAAAAGGAACTCTTATTCCAGCTGAAACCAGGACAGTCCAAGAAAGAACTTGATGGATTACACACTTCTACTTGAGACTCTTAAGGTGTCTTCCCACATTTGGTTCAGTATTAAACAGGAAACAACTTATCAATAGATTATATTATATCATATGATATCAATGAAAGAAAAAGCAGGTCTCAACGGATGCACATCTGCAGAAAGAGATGTTCACATTTCAGAAATCCTCCAAGCACGGAGGGTACCACACATAAGCACTGCTGGCACAAGGCAGTTACCTTGTATTTGAGGACAGAGAACTTGTGAACTGGTTGCTGACAGCCATTACAATTATTTCTGACTGGATCAATCCTTTTGTGAAACCTGCAATCTTACAGCTAAGCAATTTGAGACTCCACAAGGATGGTATCCCAGCACAAGCTGCTTGGTACACTACAGCAGCTTTCCTTGACTCAGGAACCACCACAGGTTTAAAACAAAGAGGGGATAACAGTCAAATGAGAACTGCTAGTTTAATGTAGTAGCTAGACTACCATAATTCTCAACTTACACAAGGCTCACAAAACCAATTCTCGCGTTTTTGGCAAGCAGCTAAATAACATTCCGGACATACTTCAATTTCATTCATCTGGAAAGAAAAAGCAAAGTTATTGGAGACATTAAACAGAGTCCAAAAGATGGTCATTTGCATTTATTTAGAGGAAAATCATATTGCTACAGTAAAAGAACCACAAAAAGTACATCTATGCATCAGCTCCAAATACTCATTAACAAGACAGGTGCCTTTCTCCTCTTCCCCCTCCTTCCCACAAGGCTTAATTATAAATAGTGCATATCCTAGTGGAAGACATATTGGCAATGCTTTTACCAAATGCTATTCTGTAGGCCATGGATATGCATACCTCAGTGTAAGGAAACCTACAAAAATTATAAATCTGCAATTCATATCTTGGAAAATATGTATTAAGTCACTCACAAATACATGACATGGAACACTAAACACACAGAACAATTAATTTAATTGGGGCACTCATACCTCATGCTCACAGATTTTGATGATGACTTTTGCTGTTTGTGTCAATTTGTGATTTCCTGAGGAAACAATAAAATGCTTTAAACCAAGAAAATTGTTATAGCAGAACCATGATAAAATCAACAGTTTTCAGATATAAAAGTCATCTGTAAAAACAAAAGAGAATATCTAAAAAAACTATGTAAAAACATATGCATGAACTACATGCTTGCAAAAGCAGAACATCAGCACTTTTTTCTCAATGTAACATTTAATAATCATTAAATGCTCCTTTTTGTGGCCTGTTGTATCCTTCCCACCACTGACACACTCTTTCAATGAGGGATTTTGCTGTATGATCTTCTCAATTATGTCTCAATTAAGTGCTGTATGATGCAAAACATTAAAGCAATTTGGGGGTTGGAACTAGATGAGGCAGATTGGATCAGATCATTTAAGACCCAAACCATTCACTGATCCTATAAACCCAAACCATTCCATGATTTTACCTTATTTGAAATCTTTTCTCTAAGGTGGAATGAGTAAGTGACAGCACAGGTTGCATCTGGCCCTATAGTTTTATTTATTCCACTTGCTAAAAAAAAAAAATTGTTGTTTTTAGGCACTATGGTCATTACATTTCAGTGTAGAAGTCTACAAATTGCTCCATGACTTTAACTATGGCAAGGTTTCATATCTAAGGATGTAAGTACACATTAATACCTACCCCCATTGTAAATAATGCAGTTGTGCAAAATCCATTTGGCATCAGCCAAAAATGCTTCAGTGCAACCGTACATTTTCTTTTTAACATTCTGGAAAGAAGAAATTAAGAATGTATCAGGAAACAGAAATCAGTAAGAAGTGACAGCTTCTTCCAGAATGCTGTGTTCTGTCAGTCATACAATAAATGAAACTGACCCCTGGAGGTGATCAAGGCCAGGCTGGACAGAGCTCTGAGCAATCTGGTCCTGTGGAAGGTGTCCTTGTCCACAGCAGGGGACTGGAAGGAGATGAGCTTTAAAGGTTCTTCCAACCCAAACCAGTCTGTGATTCCATGATATTTATTAACTGCAGAATTATGATTCTAAATGCTTAAGAATCTCTCAAATTCAAGGTGCCTTTTGACTGCCCTGAAAATGTATGAACTGTCTAAATTAAATCTAAATAGTGAATTATTTAGATCGACATCTCAAACATTTCCAAAAAATCATGTTTCCTAACAGTGTTAGGAACACAATGTTTCTGCAGAAAAGTCTTTGGTTTCTTCTACTGATTTATCATCACTCCACAGTAGTTTTAATTTTTACAAGACATACAAAAATACTGGTCACAGTACATTAGACAATATGTTTGATATTAGAGTCTACCTAGTGGGTAAAGCAATTTGATTAAATAAAATTAGTCTTGTGGTTTTGTTACCATTCTTTATTCCATAAAGGCATCAGCCTCCTCTGTAAGGACACAGAGAATGAAAAGTTGTCTCTTCACCAGGTCCTGACAGAACAAAGCTCTGCAAGGCTTCACTCTTCATTAAGCAATGGAGAATTTCTTCATTATATGTACTTTCAAATTACTATTGAACTGAGAATGAAAGTTCCATTATCCACCTCTTGACTGTTTTTTTTTCTACACCTCAGGTGCAGTGGAGATTACAGTGTTTGTTGAATAATCAGTAAAATGAGTCAGGAATGACCCCTGGATATACATCAAATGGTCCCTAATTAATGAACCAATGATCCATAATGATCAAATGAAACATAATGCAACATAATGATCAAATGAAAATCCTGCTTTAAGAAGTCCCTCCTGGAGATCATTCATGGAATCAGATGAATTTAACAGAAGGAAGTCAGCAGTGTAAGCTTGTCTTTTTCACACTATTTTTTCCCAAGCATTTGATACCGGCTCAGACAGAACAGAGAAGTTCAGTTAACATATGATTGGTTTTAAGCTGCAAATGAACTCATTTTCATAATAACCAAGAAACCACCCCATCCATCAAAATAATTTCAAAAACCTCTCTCCCCCACTATGAAACATTTTAGAAATGTTACAGATAGCAATCAAACTCAAGGACTTTCCTCAGCTAGCTTCATACAAACCTTCTCTAATGTACAAAGGTCCATTGGATGAAAGATATATTCTGCATAATCTGGGTGTTGATCCAGTGAAACTGGCTTTTGAAATGGCTCTGTCTGTTAGGGGAAAAAATAACCACACTGGTTACTAATACGGAACAGTTTCATCAATGACACAACACTCATTCTCTGTGCTATCTGACAAAATTCTTCAAAGGTAATTATAAATTGTGAGGTAATAAATTAATAGTAGAACAATAGGAACTAAAGGGTTTCATTTAGTTGATTTTTCATATGATGGACATGATGAATTGCAAAATTCACAAAAACTGAAGGATTTTTAAAAATGCTGTTGTGATTTCCAACACACAATGGCACATATTTTAGACACACTGAAGGAATTTCTTCAGCATTTTAAAAGTATGTGATACAACCAACTTCTGTGGTAAGAACACTTGCTAGTAACAGATAGAAGCTATGTTTTCAACACATATAATCAATAATGCAACAGTGTCAGTGCCTTGGGCTGTCCATATAAATATATTGGGAGGAGATCATGTCTCCACATTCCCCTTTTATGTCTGATACAGCATTGTCCACTTTCAGAGAGTAAGAAACCACCACCTTCCACTGGAAAACCACTGTACTTTCATTACACCTACTGAAAATACATCCAGGTTACATAAAAAAAATACAGTTTAAATGTATTCCAGAACAGTCTGTCCAACCTAAACTCATCTGTCTGTGCTAGACAGGTGGCAGATAGAACAGAAGCTGCCACAAACAATCTGATAAACAAAACATTCATCATCCACTAAAGGAAGCAAACCCCAGATTATGACAAATACACGATCCAAGTATTTAAAGGAGAAAAGAACAGAAATGTCCTTACCCCTGGCTGTTTCATTTTCTGTAGTGCAAACTTCAGTAGATATGATAGCTGTTCGATGGTGAGCATTGTCATTGCTTTACTCTGTGTTTCTATGCATTCTGCAACTGTGATTTTCTAAAAGTTCAGATTAAAGAAACACTTTGTCAGCAAACATTTCCAGATAAATACTTCTCCATTGACACATTCTACCAATCAAATGAAATATAATAGCTGTTCTATGAGAAACAAAACATTTCTGATAATGTAATGTAAGTACTTCAGATGCCTGTTTTACCTGGGTTTTGGCCTGTGTATGTTATCAAAAAGAAGAAAAAAGGAAAAAGCGCAGAAAATTATCCAGCATCTTCAAGATCACACAAAGTGAATATGTGAATACATAAAATTGCCAAATACAATATGAGTTCAGAGCAATGTGAGAGAGTGAGAAGGTCACCTGGGCTCTAATAAAATAAGTGATCAGAGGAAAACATGTCATAAAACAATTTGCTGTCATTACAGATATTTGGATGCTAAGTATTCTGTCCCCAGAAATCACTGGAGAGGAATGATTAAATTCTTCCACAGTAACCAAATACCCACTTGTTTATGTAGACCCTATAGTGCATTTTTTTTCTGCACTGTTGTAAAGCGGATAAGCTCACAAGAAGAAGCACAAGTTAAACTAGTGAAAACTTCAGAATGATTTCAGAATTATTGGTGCCTGATGAAGAGATCACTCTTTGAAATGGTGCTTCTCTGGAGCTGGAGACTCGTGGTAAGAAGGTAAACACAAGGCAGGTAACACACAGAAAAAGTGGTGAAGCACAGCTGTGGATGCCTCCTCTTCTGCACAAATTATTCTGGTACCTTGACCAAGAGGCAACAGGAATAAACCAGAAACACTTCAGAACACAGAAAAAGCTGCTTAAATCTCAAAACCAAGCAAGAAATCCACTCCTTATATCAAACTAACCTCACATTCTGGGCAAAACCAATCCCCCTCTGGTTCGGCTGTCAGTTTCAGACACTTAGCATGATAAACCCGAGGACAGAGCTCACAGCAGAGGACTTGGCCTTCCCGATGACAAACCCAGCAATAGAAATCATTCCGTCCATCCTGCGGTACAACATCAACAGGGTCTGTGGTGAGTGGCTGCTTCATATAGTAAAACGGACCATGTCTTAGTTCTGACTGAAATGTAGGCAAGAAAAACAGGTTTGGTTTCAAAACAAATTTGCATTTTTTCACATCGCAATAGTCATCATATATAAGCAAACAGCAATTTACAGAGTTTGATTAACATTTATGCAAGCACAGTATCTTAGTCATTGCACAAAATCATTCATAAAGAAGTTTACTGCTTATTCAGATGCTGAGTGACAATTTGCACTCAAGACCAGAAATAAATTTTTTGTGGCAAGTGAAGGCATTGAGTGCAAGACATGCAATCCAACAAGAGCCAGCAAACACTTTCAGCTTCAAGAAAGAAGTATTGCCATAGAAGCTATTAGGCCCTCTCAACTCAGAATTTCATGGGGCCGTGCAAGCTAAATACTGAGATATTTAGTGGTGGCTAAACCTGGGAAAACTGAAGAGGTTAGTGCTGCAACAAGAAGTTGAACACCATGCAAATCTGTGCTGGTTTGCAGCAGATTATAGCTTTGTACCACAAAGCAAGCCAATGCTGATTTTGATTAATAAGGCAAACTGTAGAGAAGGATGACAAAGGAGCAAATTCACATCCTGAGCAGCCACCTCTACTACAGGAGAGATTTCATTCACCACCTAAATGCATATCACAACTTGAGACTCACATCTCTACCGGTTTGCCTGCACTAGAAACCAGTATGAACTTTGTAACTTGCATGAACTGGTCTTTGCCTTGAGCCTGAGAGCTCAAAGATGACACAGCTGACGCCAAAACACAAGAAGTGAAGAGCCTGGGATGGCTTCAATGGGTCCAGAGATAACCAAAGTTTGTTATATCATCTCTGAAGAGCTGCTAACATGGAAAACTATTTATTTTCTTTTTATTTTTTAATAAAAAGAAAATAAATTTATTTATTAATGACAAGGGAACTCTATTTATTAATGACAAGGGAACTCAAATTCTCTGTTTGGTATTTATTATAGGGGTGGTTTGCTGAGGAGGGAAGCAGCCTTGAGATTTTAGACAGCTCATTTAATGTGATTTTTTTGTTTGATGTAAAACCACTTGCTTGTGACTTCACTTGTAATTATCCAAGCACTTGTAGTCTGAAGAACCATTTTGTTTTATTCTCAGGTCATTTTTCATGTGTCCTACACCATTTACAAATCTGCAACTTCTGAGACTCTTGAGCTGTCACACAGCCATGGTGATTCTCACAGGAGAGGGCAACCAAAAGTGTTCTGTACCTCTGAGGCATCCTGAACAAAATCAGTCACACAGGGCATAAAATAATGTCCCCAGAAAGCACCAACATGCCTCTTTGAACCATGGTATTTCTAGATACCTAAAGTTACAAAGGAGGTGTAATTATCTGCAGGAATATGGGATCTTCAAGGTAGAACCCACCTGAAGATGTTGTATCTCAAAAAAACCCCCAGATTATCTAACACTATACAATATTTTAGGTGAAGAAAGGATGTTATCCATAAACACTGTGCCACCTAAAATTTCACATGATTTTGTGCCAATTTTTGGTGGCTTTCATTTTCTATTCTACAGATGATAAAGCCCAGAGACACTTTGTTCCCACCACAGAAATGGGGAAAGTGCTACTTCTGTACTTTCTATACACACATTTAATGACACAACATGACAAGAATTTCAGAAGGATGGTTCTATGAGATCTTGTAGAATAAGTGGGACAGCATAAGGATTTCAGTCCATTTCAAACTAATTACTACAACAAGCATTCAAACAAAGAAACCAGAGTGAGGAAGGGAAAGTTGTAATTTCCAGTGCAGAAACATGTTTTGTTTGCAGCTCAGTGCACCACAACTGTGAGACCATCTCAGTCTTGTACACATGGACAGGCAGCTGTGGGGCACTGCCTCCACTGCAGATAAAGGAAATTACCACAGGAATTTAATATGTATTCTGACTTTGAAGTGGATATAAGTAGTATATTCACACTAGCTTTGTAAGATTCAAAGATTCTGCTTTGAGAAAAAAGTTTCTGCTTTTTACAAACATAAAACCTATGAAACTTCCACAGAAATCATAACATCCAAACTGAAGAGAAGTCAATTTTTGCTGGCAAATGAGATTAATTTAGTTTCTGTTCAAGGATGCTTTTATCATTTAGACATCTATCATCTTATTTTGCCTAAGACAAGTTTAAGAAACAAAATAAAAAAGGGTTTAGAGACTCAATAGAGACCCAAAGAACAAAACTAAAAGAGTGAAAATGAATGATTCAGCTGCATCAAGGGACCTTTTCACTTGTCCTAGTCAGAGTAATATGTTTTAAGAGTTAAAATTTTAACAGTTATTAAAGTTCAAGCTCAACTAGGTGGTAGCTTGTTTTAAAGGCATTATTGAAGTTATTAAGACCTGTAGAATGACAAAGGAAACTGAAGAAAACAAACAACAGTACTACAGTGCTGTTTTGGAGAGAAAAAGATCACTATTTATATTCAGTTTAAATTAATATTGAAGCTAGTAGTAAAACAAGCTAACAACTTAATTACGTTATAACTGTCCAATTAAGTGTCAGAAGTTCCTGGGTTTTCACCTTAACTACATTCTACAATTCCTTAATTCTTTGCCTGATATTCAGCACTTTAAATACTTGATAGCACCATTGTGAAGATCTGTGACTGCACCCACAACATGTACGTGCAACTGTAATTTTAGTAATGGTATCTTGAAATGTTCAAGCACTATAAAGCACTTTGTAATGTAGAATATTAAGTTAGAGGTTTCCAGGGAGGTTGTCATACCTCAAAACAGAGTTATCAGTCAATCAGAACCACAGCTATCAGCTACATCACACTCAAACTCACCCTGAGAGCAAAACTAGAACCTGCATGCTCAGCTCACATCTGCTCAGCAGTAAAAGAACCTTTAAAAGCAGCTCCTGCTACCACAGAGAGCAGAGTTTGAACCTATTTAGACATGACAATCTTCAGGCATGCCCACTTCAAATTTGACATGCAAGACAACATTAAATGAAAAGCAGCTTGTAAAAGCTAAACAGAACTAAACAGATGATATTTGCTTGCTAACTTGTAATAAGCACACCAAAATAAGCAAGTCTGATAGGTTTTCTTCATTAGATACACAACTTTATTCTATCCTGTACAGGTCTGAGATACCTGGAAAACAGAAAAGTATTTACCAAGGGGAATTTATCAAGTTCAACAACTGCAACTACGTTTTCACATATATTTTCAAATGCAGGAAGAAAAAGTGGAAATTAATACCCAAGGATTCAATTCCACTGTTTGCAAAATTATCTCTGCACTGCACAGCTCAGATTTCAGAGGGGCAGTATCTGCCCAGAAAATGAAAGATGTAAAGGAATAAACCCAGGTTGCAGTGAAGCTCAGCAAATGCCAAACTGAGCCCAGTGCACCTCCACATGATACAGTTACATCTCCTGGTTATCCTGAAATAAAATTTATACTGAGTTTTAAGGGCTGATTTTAAGGCCAGCTTTTGTTCCAGGACAACTGCAGTGAGTAGGAATTTCATTTTCTTTCTTCACCAATGCAATTGTACCAAGATAATGTGCTCTTATGCCAGGAGAAAGTGCTTTGAACACCCAGAACTTAATCCTGTGTTTATATGACACTGGCAAAAAACCCCGTGACACAGAAATGCACTTTGAAAAATACACAGGTGTGTCATTAGTACATCAGGTGTGAAGTAATTTCAGTAAGACTGAAGACTACTTCCATGTAATCTACTCCAAGATGGTACAGATGCTTTACAATATTTGCTATTCAATACAATTCATATAATTTTTTCATGTGCATCATACAATGAATCAGAAATTGTCCAAGTCTTGTGGAGTCAAGCTCTAAGAAGGACAACAAATGCTATCAATTCAGCATTCAGAAGACAGTAAAAATAAGGTTATAAGCATAAAGACTGAAAAGTCAGTGTGGCTCTGATTTAACTAGTTTGGTAGGAGTGTACACTGCCTGGAAACTTTAAGGGAGGGGAGGAAATATACAGAGTACCAAGGTGGAGCTGACTAACGGGCAGCAGAAAAGGACTGCAAGCAGATGAGGAACTTCACTGACATTATGAGACCTTTCTTAATCTGGGTTATCACACTACTGACCATTTCCTGCTAATGGTGTTAATAAAAAAACAGCTACTGTTGGTTTTGTTATTCTTATTATTTATTGTTGTAATTATTCACAATAATTCTGTTCCAAATTGCATTTATTGGTTATACATCTTATTACCTTTATGAAATCACTAAACAGGACACAGGTGGTCTTTTTCAACAGATGTAAAACAATAATCAAAGAGCATTCAAATTGAAATTACAATACCAACTTCTACCCCCACTGCATTCAAAAATTAATATCCATTCCTTAAGAGTACAAAAATGGAGCTTCCTTGAAGAAGACTGAGCTCCTGCTCAGCTATCTCTACATCCTCTATTTCATATTCTAGCATAATAAAACCATGGCTTCTCTTACCTGCTCTTTATTATTACTGTTCAATAGACCAGGCTTCTTTTTCTTTTTTATAGGACTTGTTGATGCATCTTGAGGTGAGTGGCCATTGGAGGAATGTGGAGGGCTGGGAAATTTCCGTTTTTGTGCTGCACGTTCAGCAGAGCCAGGATCTGTAACAGATGCAAACAATGTGGGTAAAGCCTGCAAACTGATGAAAAATGCTTCAACAATGTTATGGTTTTGGTTTGTCATTCACACTCTTCAAAGATTTTTATTTCATCTTTTTAAAATAAGAGCATTTGCAACTTCATTCCCTCAGAACAAAATTTCAGTAATCCCTAAAGAATACAAAATGCTCAGTTCTATTAAAAAGAACTTACTGCTATTTTTCAAAAGAAACAAGTACACAATCAGTTGCAAAGGACAGTCATAGAACAGTGATATGACTCTGACAAAATACAAGTGAAACTTCATCAGAGTTAGGTCAACAGGTTCATTTTTCCCTAAGCTTTTAATGCATGCAACAAAACAAAATTATACATAGAACCACAGGGATCAGAATTCAACAATATCATAAGAGAAACAACTGAACCATCCCCCTAATATTTAATTGTACAGAAAAAATTAAAAGCTGCAGTGGTTTTGGCTACTTTCTAAACAAATCTATGGAAAATACAGTGTTATATGATGACTTCTGATTGACCGAAAGTATGGTTAATATGTGTCAAGATCATATTTAGGGAAGCTATAAATAAATATGAAAAACACATGAAAATACAGGTGGAAGGACATATAACTGTAAGAGAGAAAACAAAAGTAGGAGTGTTTGCCCATCCTGTATTTTACTACTCTAGAAGAGCTACACCAGGCTAACAACATCTGGAATTTCAACAATTTCAACAATTCCAGAAGTGTCTGCCACTAATTCTGTAGGCACAGCAGACATATTACTGTCAGCTCCTAGAGAAACTCTTCTGTTGACATAAGCTATGAAATGCTGGCAAAATGTAGTAAACTGGTTTAAATAAACAAACAAAAACCTGTCATGTTTTGAGCTTTGACACTTAAACCTGTGACTTTTTTCCCTTCCCACACACCCTTCTCTTTTACACATACTGGCAGCATTTAGCAGCAGTTATCTGCTGACATGCCTTGGCTGAAATCAATCAATACAATGTGCCTGAGACCATTATTGTTACTTGCTGTGTTTGGATTCAAACAAATCTGCCTCCTGCTCCATTTAGCCCCAAATTTAGATTGATTTGACAATACAAAGAGCTGCTATGTCACCTCTATGTGTGAAAAATACAATGTCTGTTTCCTCCCCTCCTTAAGCAATTACACAATAAAAATGCCAACACAGTACAAGTCTGCTGACAGCAAACTCAGAGGCTTTGTCAGTTTGGCTGATTATGCACAGAAGGTGGCAGAAGAACTCCTTGGGCTGGGATATGCTTCACATATCCCAAGAGAGATGTGTTAACCCAGCTATCCTGGAAGAATCTGCTGCATCAGTGTCAGCTAAACCAAAGCTCACAACGAAATCAAAATGATCAAACCTGAAACCAAACAAGCTCTGAATGCTGTTTTTTCCATGAAAGTAGAATGGAGCTTTTTCAGCATGGGAGCTGTTTGCATTCAGAGTGACCCACAAAACACAGCATCATACCATGTCTTTTCTCATTTTTCCACCATCACATTAAGGTCTTTGTTTCTTTATTATTATTTACAAAAAATATCCTCAAAGGGGTCTCTAAACCCAAGTTTTTCACCAGCAAATAAAGCCATTGCTAAAGATATTTGGGCTTTTATTTCAAGACTGTACCTTAAACCAGGAGGAGAAATGGACAGTAGAGTTTTCTGCTCTTTGCCTTTATTTCTTACTCCCAGGCACAAAACTGCCACCGGTGGAGCACACCAGTTTCCAGAGTGTGAGGTTTACAAAGGAGCTCTAAGTATGAAAATCACCAGTAAAGTTCCTGCCTCGTTCATGTGATCCATTTCACTTTTAAATGTTGATTCTTTCCTTAACTATCTGATTTAGGGTCAGGAAAGTGTTAAACTGTTATTAGCTAAACCAGAACTGAATGACTATTCAGTCACAGCCAAATCGAAGCTACAATTCAGGAGAAAAGGTGCTGATTCAATAATAATCTTATTAAATGGTCACACAAACATGTATGTTTGGTTAAGTAATTTCAAAAACTACTTAAAGTGATGTAATTTTCCTCCTTGGTTCAAGAAGCCTGAGTATACTGGGGATTTTCAAATCAACTAGTGGTGACTCACAGGCAACATACAAAAACTGACCTGAAATACACTTCCTTTTTTTTTTTTTCAGCTGGCAAGTTATTCAAATGCACAGAGATTTTCTTGAGGCAATGTAACTGGAAAAATTAAGGAATAGACAGGAAAACAGCAATGCACAGGCATATTTTTTCAGATTTACTTGTGCTAGTGGAATAGGCCAGTGGCTTTAACTACCACAGTATGTTGCCAATTTACCAAACTGAGGGATCTGATAATATGAACAATCTTTTAATTCAGTTCAAGTAATGAAAGAATGGTAGCATCTTCTTAAATTGTTTGAGCTATGGTTTTCAATTCTAATTATGATAAAAAATTGCATTTTGTGTGAATTTCTTTCAGTGGGAATACCAGATTTAGCACAAACTGCTGCTTCTCCCTCCCTGGCTCTCCCAGCTTTGTGAGCAGAGTTCCTGAGTTGTGAGCCAGATCAAGAGACTGATCCCTGTTAAAACAATCTGTAAGGAGGAAAGTTAATTTTTAATTTTGAATCATTTCCCTAGTGTAGGGTTACTTGAAAAAAAGCGAAACAAATCTGGAGGAAAGAACAAAAGAGACCAAACTTAAGCTATGCATTAATTTGGTGACTGTATCAGTTGCTTAAGGGGTGGATTCAAGTTTCTGCTCCAAAAGGGAACAGCCAGAATTTCTGTGATTTCTTCTATGATAAGTAAATATTTATCAAAAAGTGTTTAACGAGCAAGAATGGTCTCACCTTAGGAAGGATCTCACCATCCAGCTGGTCACCACTTGGTTTGTGATTGTGCAATTTCCCTCCTCCTACTGAACTCCCTCATACCCTGAGCATGTCACCCTCATCCAAACTTCTCACTGATAAACCAATTGTACTAAAAATATTAATTTTGCCAAGCAACCTTAGTCTGCTTATTTCTTGATTTTTTTATGTAATTTTGCTTTCTTAGCACCACTTTAAAAATGTGCTTCCACTCAAGTGAAAAAATAGACACCTGAAATAACTTTTGAAATTCTCATTAAAAGTTCCCTGGTTTGACATCACTAGGTTAGCATTAATTGGTCTGTGATGTTGGCAAGGTTGACAATAAGCACCTCTGAGTGCTCTTACAAATCCTTCACTGGGGAACAAGGAGCTAACCTGAGCTTCACCTGAAGCTTAAATCTCTGTTTCTGTATGCCATCATGTGACTAAAGGATTAGTAACCACTGCTCCCAGGGGATAGACTAAAGCATACTTAAACCCTAAAGCAATTTCATTTCACACTTTAGGACTGCTTTGTAAGTCCAACTTTATGTGATGGCAATGCACTTCGTAAGCAGATAACCACAGTAACAACTTACTATAGTTTAGCTTAAAAAAATTCTAAAAACAAACAAAAGTGTATTATTTATGTCAGAGATCTTATCTTGCTGCAGCATATGGAACACAGACCACAACCAAATATTTTTATACTCTGTGTGTTGCAAAGTGCTGCACTGTAAACACTCCATAGCAGGGATCCCTGACAACTGAGAAGTCTCACTTTTCTCAACAGAAGCAGGTGCCAGCTCAGAAAACCTGTAACAGTAGGATGTTGTTTTCTTTGCTTCTCCTGTGATATTTAAATGTAACTCTTCTTGAAAACAGGCACCATCAAGATGCCTTACTGTAAGAGCACAGCACAAACTGCTCAATACCACAGACTGACAGTGACACCCCCTTATGCCCTTCTTTCCATACTTCTTTTTTTTGTTATTTTTTCAATTAAAAAACTTAAGTTAAATGCAATCAGGGCAATTCCAGACTAAAACAATGGTGAAATCATGTCTACATATGTATTTCTAGACACCCCTTATATTTGGATTATTTTCTCTCCCAATAAAGCCTTAATGAGAGCTGAAACCTACACCTAAGTCATGGTTTCACAGCACCCTTCCACAAATAAAATTTGTGCACCCTTCCACAAATAAAATTTGTTTCCTTTTTTTTTTCTTCAGCACTGTGGCTTGTTCACCCAGGAAGCAAGATGGTATGGAAAACTGATATGGCCTAAATCAACAACAACCCTAAAATTTCATTTCAGTTAAATCAGCAGAGGAACAATTCCCAGAGTTGGACGTGCCAGTAAAAGGGAAAGGGATGGAAATGTGGCAGTGAAGGAGGGATGCTGGTGTGGCAGGGCTGGCTTAGACCAGGATATATTGCCTTAGCCTCCCATCCTCAATGCAATGGATGGCAAGGTAAATGAGAAAAGCCTGAGTAAATCAGATTTCCAGTAGACCATGATTTTCAAATTCAACCTCACAAACAAGATAGGCAAAAGCCTTCCCAGAAAGTGTGGAAATTGCAGGATAAAATCAGTTACTGTGAGTGAAGAACTATCCTTCTTTGAGATTGTGTGGATGGGAAGAAAAGTTTTGCTTTTCAGAGTAAAGTGCAGACAATAAAAAAGAAAATTTTAACTACATCAAGTTTACTTTCATGAAGAGTATTACTTATTCAAATTCTGTACCTAATTTTCTTAAATTGTAGATATAAATCCTGTAAAAATGAGCTTCTTACTGCTTGGAGAAACGACTTCTGTTCTGGAAATTTTCAGAAAGTGAGAAGAGGGAAACTAAGAAACACATTTGTTTAAACAGTAACAACAACAAAAAATAAATTAAAAAATCTTTTCAATAAGATTTGTGATAAAGATGGTAAGATGAGCAGTCATTTTAGTTCTCCAGGAGCCAGAAACAGCAATGTGTTTTTTCAGTGAAAGTACTATTTTAGCCTCACAGGAGACATCAGTAAACTAAGACTTAGTTACAAGTTTCCTGTGATCTAAGCAGGTTTTTGATATCTCAGTACAAATGGGTCAAATATGCAAAATTCTGAATAACATTTCCAACTAGAAACACAAAC